AAAAAAATTGCACTGATGACTAGTCTGCTTTTAATTAGCGCTCCCTAGAAGGGAGCTGGAGTTTAATTTGAGTTGCTAACCTGAGTTAGTCTCACTAGTTTAACCCAAATTAGCTAATCCAAGTTCAGAACACAGCTGGTTTTTTGTTTTGTTTTGTTTTGAAGTGTAGACATAGCCTTACAGTAACAGCGAAGGGAATCACTGTGTTTCTTCATTTCCTTTTTCAGTTTGTGTCAGGATATTGTGTCGGACTGGGATGATTGAGTTGGGGTTGGTCCTGCTTTGGGCAGGGGGCTGGACTCTTCCAGCCCTAGAATTCTATGATTCTATATCAGAATGTATCACTGAGTCTGCGTGAGTTTTAAGACAGGTGCAGGGCTGTGCTCTCTGCACCATGTTTTACTGACTTTGTGTGTAATTCTATTTCATTTATTAAATGCCTCCAGGGGCCTTTGGACACGAACCCCTCCTAGCCGATCAACACCCAAACTGGTTTTAATTCATTCCTGGTGTTATTTTGGTGCAAATGTGCAGAAGCTAAATGGAAACAGGGCAATTTATTACAAATTAAGAGTGTCTCTGTGCTGACTTAAGGGTGCGTCTACACAGCAGGGCTTAACTTGAAATAAACTATGCAAATTGAGCTACGTCAATTTCATAGCTTATTTCGAAACAGCTTCTTTCAAAATAGGGAGCGTCTGCACAGCACTTATTTCAAAATAGAGCACTCTTCCTCTGACTTCCCTTATTCCTCATACAATGAGGAGTACAGGAGTCAGAATAAGAAGTGCTCCAGCTTGGCAGTATTTTGACACTATTTCGAAATAACTGCCTGCTGTGTAGACGCGGACTAAATTATTTCAGAATAGCACACCTAAAATGTCCAGTACTTTCTGATTTTTTCCCAGCCAGCAGGCGAAAATCCTGGCTGTCCAGCTCAATACGGAAGCAGCCTGGCAACCGGGTTTCACAAGGGAGCTGTCCGGCCTGGCACAGGGAGGCAGGATGGCGGGTGGCCACCGGCAGCCTGTTAGTGCCAAAAAGTCTCTCACACAGTTTTTAAAGGGGCCATGGAGGTTTGGGTTTGGTTTTTTTGCTTAACAAGCTTTTTCCTGGCATGCGTTTCCCCCAGTATTTTTTCTGAAACCATCTGGTAACCCTCCCATCGGCCCTTAGAAATGAAAACATCCCACCATTTAGTTCTTCAAATGTTACCAAAACACCTCAGAGAATAGTTCAGGAATCGATCCAGGGTCAGGATGGTGTGCAGTAGCTCTCAGCCAGTAAATGTAGGTCTTATTAAGAGGTGAGAAGTCCAAGGGCAGAAACTAGATATGCGTTTATGGGGCTTACCACTCTTCATAACAAACCAGGTCCCAATCCTGCAGCAGCATGCCTCTGGGCCACCCTCTAGGGGGTCAAAGGGGATGGCTTTACAGCAGCACAGAAAAAGAATTATTATTTATGGGCCTGATCTCGGAGTCACTCCATGCATGGAACTGACTGGTTTCCCAGGAATTCCCCACACACTGGGTGGCGGCAGGATTGGGATTTATGGCAGAGGCGGTTTTCCAAACACATGTGGCAAAGTTTGAACTCATTTTCCCAAAGCATCTTTTCAACTGCACAAACACAATATTTGCACACACACAGAGGCCTGCCTGATTCTAATTTCTGGCTCTGTGCTAGTGCATGGACCAGAGCGCCTTTGTGCGAGGCATGGTAAACACGCAGAACAAAGTTTCTGCAGGCAAACTTCGGACGTTGGAATTTGGCTGGTGTTAGAATTATTGCTGTTATGAAGTGTGTTTAGAGAGTTTCAGTGTTAAGCATAGCATGCAACACAATCAAAAAACACACAGGAAAAATGCATCCATACCATCTGTTTAAATGTGGGGTTCAAAAGCATTTGGGGAAAGGGCCAAAGCAAAAAACTAACAACAAAACACATGCCCTTAAAAATAAGACAAGGGAAGGGAGGCAGGGAGGGAGAGAGGGGGTGGGGGGACGGGGCTGGAGGCACAGAAGTTGTCATGGGTTTGAATTGTAACGTGAATAAAGCTTTCAGAGCAGGACAGATGTTTCAATGCTCCCCTTCGGCAGTGTGAGAAAATTACTGTCCAGTGACCAAATGGCAAGTCAGTTTCCCACCCTCCCTGCCTCTCCATTATCTAAAGCACAAGACAAAAGCAGGGAGGGGGGATGGGCAAAGGAGAATCCTATTGTTCCCGGGTGCACTAATTATGGAAATCTTGTTAATCTATTCAGCAGCAACGCTGAAGTGGGCTTTTGTGAGGGGGGCTTTTTAACAGCGCACAACGAGGGTGCACAGCCCGGTGTCCAACTGTTCAGTGTTTGAAGTGGGGAGCGCTCTGTTCCAACGCTCCTTTTATTGCCCCCATCCTTCAGCCCTCTGGGTCCGATCGGAAAAATCCCGGGCAAGTTATTTTACAGACAGCCCACGAGTCTTGACTCACACGGACCAGCCCAAGTGACAATCGGCCACGGTGGAAGGCATGCAATGCAGAGACCTGACACGGCAAACTCCTCGGACGAGAGCATAAACATGCAGCATCCTCAGCTGGGTTTTTAGATACTTGCACCTACACACAATACATAGCTCTACACAGAACGTGCATGCCCCCCTGGTGGCATGGATCCCCATCTGGTGCAAAGTGGCTTAGTGCCATGGCCTTATTTATGCCTCTCAAGCAATCCAATGTCCAGCAATTGGATCTGCATCACACCACCAGTTCCAAGTGC